TCTATGAGGCCGTTATACTATTCAAATTGATTTTATTTTATACAATAATCTTCTACTTGATGGGGAGATAATATTCTACTCTAAAGGAACGAGGGGATTGAGCTGAACCATAAAATAAATAAGTATTGAACTATACACAAATATAATACGTTTTTGTCATTTATATGAGTCGAATCTGAAACATTTTTATTTGCAAAATGAAGAGAAATACTATTAAAACTTAGTACTAATTAGTTATTCAAATTGATCTTTCAATGGTCAATGAAATTGTGATGTCAATAAACATATAAACCAAATATATATATGTCATTAAACAAGCCTTTCAAGATTAATATTTTAGAGCAAAATCTTGTTGAATAAATAAGTTAAATTAGAAAGTGATGAGTGGCTAGCTGATGGATTTTCTCATCCAGCTGTACTTTTTTAAGGCCTCATTTAGTAGAGAGGATTAGATTGAAATGCATAACTCTCTAATTTCATGCATATTAAAAGTAGAAGGATTAGATGAGGATTATACATGAATGAAGGGAACTTCTCTTTTGTAATCCAACCATTTTGTGAAGGTTTGTAATGATAAATTTTCTTCGTGAGTAACTCATCTCCTACCAAATTGGTCACAATTTTTTCATTCATTCCTTCAACATAGTTAAAAAAATAGTGTATTATCAAATTCAATCTAATTTCCATTTTCTAGGGGCCTAAGTGTTTTGTTATAAGGGTGCTTTTTTTTTCTTTCAAATTTACTAATAAAATTATCTTTTCTTGTTTCCAACTAAACTTAAAGCTCAAATGGGTAAGGGTAGGATATAAAGTGGAAGATTGATGAAGTTCAATTATTATTGTATGAAAAAAAAAAAACTAAGCTAAAAAAAATGAAGTATTGTCACTCAGTACTACGGTTTAGTGATATTTCTCTTCACTTGTAAGTGAGATGTCTTATGTTTAATTCTCGCCGAAGGTGAATTTAAACCACGTTATTATTAGTATATTGTGAGGCTTAGCCACTCTCCCACCCTCTTAGTATAGATAATATCGTTTGTACAAAAAAAAAATGAAAGAATTGTAAGTTTTTTGTGTCGAAAGTGATTTTCTTTTGATCATTTCTGTAAATTCTAGACAGATACTAGAAGACTAAAATGTCAAAACATAAGGAGCAAACGTTAATATATGATCTAACACACAAAAATATCATTAAAATAAGGACCATGAAACCGTATTCAAATTCCAATAAAACCATAAAATAAAAGACAAAGGGACCATGGACGATACCAATAAATTTGCCCAAACAAAATCAACAGCAGCTTTCATTTGAAATCCCTGTTTCTTGCACTGAACGAGGTTGCACGCTCTCTCTCACACCTCTCCTCTCCCTCTCTCTCTCTCTCTCTCTAACCCCCAGATGTTAAGCTACAGCCTACAGTATACCAACAAACAAAATGAAGCCTAACGTCTAGTTTTCTTCGTTCCTTTCATTTTCAAACCCAGAAGGAACACAAAGTTTCTGTCTTTTCTAATCGACTGCAATGTCATCCTCCTCTGCAACTGCATTAACAGCAACAAGAAGGCTAAAATGGCAGTATCCACCACCCCAACCAACCCCAAGAATCCTCCACCTCCCGCGGAGGCCACGCCGGAGAGCTCCCAAGAGCGTCCGTGGTGGAAAACCCAATTCAGGGGAGGCCAAGAAGGACCACAAGGGAAAGCTGCAGGCTCTGTTCGATCAAGAGAGAGCGTTTTCGAGAACCCATTTGCCGGTTGTGCTTCTTGAGTGTGGGGATGGGGAGGAGAGAGAGAGGAGGAGAGAGAGGGTTAGAGAGGGGGAGGATGATGATGGTGGTGTTGGCGTGGTGGAGGAGGAGAGGTGGAGGTTTCAGGCTGAGATGTTGAGGGCGGAGTGTAATTTGTTGAGGATGGAGAAGGAGATTGCTGTTAAGAAAATGGAGAGGACCAAGGTTAAGATGGAGAGGACTCTTAAATCTGCTGTGCACACTCTTGTTTCTGTAAGTCCCCTCTATCTCTCTCGTTTTGTCTTGTTTTGTTTTTATTTACGTTGGTTTTGAATTGTCTGTTTGGCTGATGAGAAAATGCTAGAAAGAGAAGGAAACCCAACAGGGTTTTTCTGTTTGGTTGCTCAGAAATTATACGGAATTAAAAGCAAGGAAAAAATTCAAATCTTAAGCCGTGCTTCTTCTGCATTCTTTGTTGTATTCTTATTATAATCCTGCAAGTTTTTTCTTTAAGAATGAGTGACAAATTTTGAATTTGAGACGGGTTTTCAGGGGCGAAAGAAGATTTGTGACGGAAAGAATATTAGTATGGTATTGGAGGAAGAGATTCAACACTTGGCAGAGAAACTAGAGAAGTTGCAAAGAAATTTAGGTGTTAAGGATTCGGAGGTTCGGAAGAACTCTAGTAATTTTGATAAACAAGCCTATCTTCTCCAAAGACAGCTTCAGAAGTTTAGGAGGACATCAGATGAGATATGTGTGAAGGAGATCCAAGAGATGGCAGAAGCAAGCCTGTCGATCAAAACAAGCTCTCGAGTATATGAGAACTCGGTTTCAAGTGGCAAATGCAATGTGAGCATTGTCTGTCTTTCATTGATCTTGCTTTGATACTTCAATTTCTTATCTCCATATTTTGTAGGAGAGAATTAAAGACACGGCATGACTTTGAATCTTATGATTTATATTGTTATAATGTGTGTGTCAATTGTCAACTGGATCAAGTTAGTTTTTACTTTAAAATTGATAGAGTGAGGAGATTCTCGATAGCCAGGCATGCATTGTTTTGCTTCATGATTTGCATAATTTTATGTGCCTAATCAGTTCCATAAAAAATACAACGCAGGTGGAGATTCTGAGAAGGAAAATGGAGGGATTGTCGAAAGGGATGTTATTAGAGAAGATGGAGGAAGAGTATGGTTCAATGCTGTCTACAGCCAATAGTTCAGTTGCCAGTTCTGCCTCTTCTTCCCAGAGAATTGAATCCGCAAATTTGTCCTCTCCCTTGGTACAACAATTTCATAGGGTAAATCCTTGCAAGAGATTGACTTATTTATTGAATAAAGAAAACATTGTTAGTAGACGGAATTTAAAGTTTGGACAATTTGCTCTGCAGGAGAAAGAGTCTCGTGAAGAGGATGTGTGCTCAGGACGTTGCAAGGCAATAGTTCGAAGAATTGTAGAGCAAGTACGAGTAGAGACAGAGCAATGGTCTCAGATGCAGGAGATACTGGGGCAGGTGAGGGAGGAGATGGAAGAATTGCAGACTTCTCGGGACTTTTGGGAAGATAGGGCTCTAGATTCTGATTATCAGATCCAATCCTTATGCTCCGCTGTAAGATATTCCATACTAGATTGTTATATGTTTAGTTTTAGTTCGCAACTGTACATGTATCTAGATCAAGCTGCCACTGGAAGAAGCATTCATTTTAGCTCTTTTTGGCTGGCGCTATATGAATAGCCACATTGCTCTCTTCAATGTTTTGGTAGAATCTGTTATCGATCGAAAAGCAATATATTTGGAATAGCCTTCATTTCTGCATTATTTTGAAAAAGGATTGACAGGATTCTTATGATGCTTCGAAGTTAGAAGGCCTGGAACTTAGTTTAAATAATTCCTTTTGAATATCTTCTTGAATGCACTCTAAAAAAGTCGTATTTCTGCAGGTGCAAGAATGGAGACAGAAAGCTGTTTCAGCCGTGAGCAAAACAAGGGAGTTACAAGCACAACTGTCAACGCTCCACGGAGAGCTTGACAGGTTGAGGAATGAAGAAAGCACAAGAGTAATGAGGGCCAACAGCTCGCCACTCATTCCCCGAAATCCACAGAATGTAATGGAAAAGCGGGTACTGATATGTCATTTGAAGGAAAATCAGCGTGCCAAAGAAGACAGCCGCAAGCAAATGGTGGGTTTAACAGATGGAAGAAATAAACCAGACACACGCACAAACAGAACAACTATTGTGCCGAAGAGATCACCGTTTCGAGACATGGGAAACACCTCATTTGTTGCCAGGCAGAACCCCAAAGCAGTCTTCCCTCTGCATTGTCATCTACCTTCCAAAACATAGAAAAGTTTTGAGATTCAGTACATGGATCAGCTTGGGAATCTTCATCTTCTGTAGGAAAATCTTCCTCTTTTCTAACCATGTTAACTGTACGGCACATTGGAAGGTCTTTGTCGTGGATTTTGACTCATTGCATCAATTACATGCCAACAAATATGGTCACTTGTATTACTTGCTCTCATATTACTTGAAGGATGTCGAGATGGGCTCGAGTTGTTTTCTCGAGAGTCTCGGGCAATGAGACTAGATAAACAAAGAGTTTTAATGAAATTAAAAATATAAGGTCATTAGGTTCAATTCTCGCGAAAGACGAGTTTAAATCACATTTTTTTTAACTCATTGAAAGGCTTAGCTGCCCCACCTTCCAAAAATATATCAAGTTATTATGTGTGAAATGTTAAATAAAGAGGACGAGTGGTAAGAGTTTTAATCGAGTCTCTTTAACCATGTTGGTTCACTTTACACCAAAGAAAGTTCATGAATTCTTTTCTAATTGATTCTAAATGGCTTAGACTCTGTGTTGGGATTAGTTGAAACTTTTGAAAAGATGTTCTGATTTTTTATGTTTTCTATGGATTGCAACTTGAAGGTGAAAATTTTGTCTTAGTTGAGTTTTAATAAAGTTTTTAAGTTTGTTAGTTTTTAATTTGTTTTTGAGTTTTGTTTTGCTTGAGGACAAGCATAAAGCTAAGTATGGGGGTATTTGATGAGGCGACATTATACTATATCTTTTACCCTATTTTTAGTATTAATCTATTAGTTATTTTGGTAGAATGTTGATACTTTGTTATATATTTCCAATGTAGGACATGCAACTTCATCTGAAGCAAAAAGTGATCAAACCGAATGAATTTTGGAGTGATTCCAATTGGAGGATGTTCGTGAGTTTTTTGTTGTGCTTGAGCACCAAATGGAACAAATAAAATGAAAGAAATAACTCTCAATTTATTAACTGAATGAGATAACAAATGTATACAAAGAAGAATCTCACAAATTGGCTCACACAAATTATTTCTATGTGAGCTCCTTTTATTACAAAATAAATGGTTTGCCTTCTAATACGTAATGCCATAAACAAGTTTGTGATGGAGAGAAAAACAATGATAACCAATACAAAGTAATTGACCAAGATTTATATCGAGCCACATGTCAACAATCTCCACCTTGGCGAGATTCATAATCACAAACATATTTAGGCACATAGTATATGAGCTATGTTCAAACAATGCTCAAACTTGGCAGGTCCGAGCGCTTTAGTTAACATATCAACTGGGTTGTCCGCAATTGGAACTTTTTGAAGAATAATCTTTCTTTTGGACAAAATCTCACAAATAAAATGAAATCGAACATCGATATGCTTTGTCCTCGAATGACAAACTTGGTATTTTGACAAGTGAATAGCACTTTGACTATCACAATGTAGATTCACCTGCTTTTGATAAATTCCTAGATTCTTTATCAGTCCATGTATCAAAATGGCCTCCTTTACAGCTTCTGCAATAGCCATATATTTGACCTCCGTTGTTGACAAAGTGACTGTGGATTGTAGTGTGGACCTTCAACTAAATGACCCTTTAGCCATGGTAAATAAGTAGCCAGTAGTCGATCTTCTTTTATCCAAATCACCAGCATAGTTAGAATCAACATATCCAACCACAAAATTCTCAAAACTACTATCACTTTGCTGAAAACATAAGCCAACATCTCTAGTCCTATGTAGGTATCTTAGAATCCACTCAGCTGCTTGCCAATGTTCTTTTCCTGGATTGTGTATATAGCGACTAACCAAACCAACGACATGAGCAATATCTGGTCGAGAACATACCATAATATACATCAAGCCACCAACCAAACTAGAATATGGAATATTCTTCATCTGCAGCTTCTCTTCATTGTTTTTTGGAGATAACAAGCACTCAACTTAAAGTGAAAAGCCATTGGAGTAGTTACAGGTTTGGTGGCATCATTAATTAATACCAAAACATTGAAGCAATTTACACAAATATTGCTTTTGTGTAAGATACACCAAGCCTTTTTCTCAGTTACGAGTAATTTCCATATCGAATACCTTTTTCGCTTCATCAAGATCTTTCATCTCAAACTTGTTCATCTGTGCTTTCAACTTTTCAATCTCCTAAACATTCTTCGATGCAATTAACATATCATCAACATACAATAATAAATAAATGAAATACCCATTTACAACTTTTTGAAATAAACGCAAAGATCATATTGACTTTTTAAATAGTATTGACCTCTCATGAATTCGTCAAACTTCAAATACCACTGTCTTGGAAATTGCTTTAATCCTTACAAAGACTTATTCAATTTACAAACTCATTTCTCTTTTCCAGTTACATGATACCCATCAGGCTGAGACATGTAAATTTCTTCATCAAGATCTCCATGTAAGAAAGCCGTCTTAATATCAAGTTTCACTAGTTCAAGATCAAATTGTGCAACAAGGCTAACATAATACGAATAGATGAATACTTCACAATAGGAGAAAATACTTCATTATAATCAATACCTTCCTTATGTGCATATCCTTTTGCTACCACTTATGCTTTGAATCTTACATTGTCTTCTCTTGGACGACCTTGTTTTTTAGTATATACCTACTTGCAGCCAATAACTCTCTTTCTGGGAGGCCTTTGAACTAACTCTCAAGTGTTGTTCTTCACAAGAGAATTCATTTCTTCATCCATAGCCTTACCCCACTCTGTATTTGCAAAGCTGTTCATAGCTTCCTTATAACTTTCTAGGATTTCTGCATTAATAATATGAAAAGCATAAGCAACATAATCACTATATCTTGCTGGTCTGTTTGTGTTTCTCTTACATTTGCTTGTAGTAATGCACTCTATAACTGGAGGCTGATGGGTATGAGCCTCTTCTTTATCCTAGGAAGAGACATCTTCATCTTCTTGACCTTCATTTACTTCTTGTTCAATCAAAACAGGCAGTGGAGTAGTGGTAGCAATCTTTTCAAACTCCACCTCCTAAAAACTTCTCTTAGGAACTTGAGTTGTATTAACACTTGTCTTTGAGTTGCTTTGTAATATATAAGTTTCGTCAAAAGTCACATCTTTGCTGATTACAAGTTTCTTCAAATCTGGACACTACAAATGGTAACCTTTGACATCGTTGTTAAAGCCCACAAAAATAGCCTTCTTGGCTCTTGAATCAAGGTTACTTTGAGTCACATGGAAATAAACAGGACAACCAAATATATAAAGAAAATCATAATCAAAAGCTCGTTTTCCAATCCACTTCTCAATAGGTGTTTTACCTTCAATTGCAAATGAAGGTAAACAATTGATAATGTGACAAGCATATGTAATTGCCTCTACCTAAAATGCCTTAAACCAAATTAAGCCAACATACATCTAACCTTTTCAAGTAACGTTATGTTCAACCTTTCAGCAACTCCATTTTGTTGGGAAGTACCACGAACAGTGAAATGCCTTATTATACCTTCTTCTCTACAAACTTTAAAAGATGGATCAGAGGTGTATTCACCACCATTATCTGACCTCAAAACTTTAATTTTCTTACCAGTTTATTTTCAACCATTTTCTTCCAGTTTAAGAAAATATTTAACACCTCATCTTTGTGTTTCATTGTATAAACCCAAGCTCTTCTAGAGTAGTCATCAACAAAAGTTACAAACCAGTACTTACCACTCAATGATACTTGGTAGGACTCCAAACACCTGAATGCACATAATCTAGGATTTCTTTAGTTTGATGCACAACAATACCAAATTTAACTCTGGTTTGCTTACCCAAGAAACAATGCTCACAGAAGTTGAGCTTGCAAGTATTGGCTCCTTTCAGCAGTCTCTGTTTCACAAGAGCTTGAAGAGTTTTTTCACCAGCATGTCCAAGTCTCATATGCCATAACTTGGTGCTGTCAGTATTTGGTTTTTCAGAAATTGTGGTTGCACCACCTAAAACTGTTTTCCCCTGCAGGAAATATATATTCTGCTTTCGAATTCCCTTCATCGTACCCAAAGCACCTTTAATAACTTTCAGAACACTATCTGACATATTTACATTAAACCCATTGCTTTCCCAGGCACCTAAAGAAATTAAATTTTTCTTCAAAGCAGGAACATACCACACATTAGACAACTTTCTAACGATGCCATCATGGTGTTTCAACTTAATTGTTCCTACTCCTTTTTTATCACATGCATAATCATTACCCAATAAAACAGTTCCCACCTTTACAACTTCTAGATTAGTAAACCAATCTCGATTTGGACACATATGATGAGAACAACCAAAATCCAAAATTCATACCTCATAATCACAAGCAGAAGTAACAACCAAAGCATAATCAGATTCCTCATCACTTAGTGCAACATTAGCATTGATGTTTCTGTTATTCTTCTGCAACTTAGGGCAATCTTTTATCCAATGTCCCTTTGTATGACAAAATGCACATTCATTTTTGTCTAATATTTTTTCTATTTGTGAATTACCTCGTGGTCGAGACTAAGATTTTCTTCTGTTATCGAATCTTCGTCTTTCATTCATTTTGCCTCTAACAAACAAAGCATCTAATGCTGTATTCTGGACTTACTTATCATTATATCCAACTTCATGGTTCATCAATGCATTAGACACATCTTTAAAATTTATGGTGTCTTTACCATAAATTAAAGTAATAGCTAAATGATCATACGCCTCAGGTAATAAATTTAACAAAATCAAGGCTTTATCTTCGTCCTTGGTCCTTGACATCTTCATCTAAATTTAACAAATCAGCGATTAATTTGTTAAATAAATCAAGGTGTGTAATCATTTCCGTACCTTCTTTGTATTGGAATCGGTATAACTGCTTTTTTCAAATGGAGGCGATTTTCGATGCTCTTTGTCATGTACTTGTCCTCCAATTTTTGCCATAGCGACTTAGCTGACGTTTCTCGCATGACAAAATACTTTTAAGGTTTTGCAAGACATAAGCAAATTGTTGAGCAAGTCATTCGATTTAACTTGTTCCACTCAACTTCTTCCATATCCTCCAGCTTGTCTTCTAATGTCAAATCCAAATCTTGTTGAGCCAACACATCTTTAACCTCACATTGCCACATACCAAAGTTATTTGCTCCATCGAACTTTTCAACTTCAAACTTTGCATTTTGAGCTGTCGTTTTTGCCAAATGCGAAGCGTGTGATTTCAGCAAAGGATGCGCACCTCCCAATTCTGATTGATCACCCATCTTCGTCAAGCAGGTTTCAAATAAAAACTTTGATACGGATGAGCCTAATGGCTCTGATACCAATTGTTGTGCTTAAGCACCAAATGGAACAAATAAAATGAAAGAAATAACTCTCAATTTATTAACTAAATGAGATAACAAATGTACAAAGAAGAATCTCACAAATTGGCTCACACAAATTATTTGTATGTGAGCTCCTTTTATTACAAAACAAATGGTTTGCCTTCTAATACGTAAAGTCATAAACAAGTTTGTGATGGAGAGAAAAACAAGGATAACCAATACAAAGTAATTGACCAAGATTTATATTGAGCCACATATCAACATCTTTCAAGATGATTGTATCAAAGTTTCATATTTTTCTACCAAGCCGTTTGACTGTGGCAATGAAATAAAGACCCAGCGCGCAGCTTTCCCAAATTGACGTTTTTGAACATTTTGGGTATTTTAAAAGTCAAGATGGCATATTTTGAGCAAGATTCCTTCTGTAGATTTGTTAAGAACATCTCAAGCTTTAAAAAGAGACCTTTTAGAATCAAATCAAAGTTGATTTGATCGGTCAAAAGTCTGATTTTCTGATAAGTCTGAATTTTAGTTTAAATAGGAAACCTTTTATTTTGTATTTTATTATTTTATTATGTTTTCTAGTTTTATTCTAAGACCTTTTAGGGTTTTATTTTGTAGTAGTATAAATAAAGATATTTACCCATTAGGACATGAGGAGAGAAAAGAGAAGAACGCACAACTTTTGGATTTAATTTTATTTTCAAGGTGTTTTCTATCCAGGCTTTTAATGATATTTTGTTTTATGATTGTTCGTAACTAGTTTCATTTGCTAGGGTAGCAAGAATATGTAGTTTCTTTTCAATTTGCTTATAATATTATGTATGTGGGTTTTGAATTATTAATCACCGGTTTAAACTATATAATTGTCTTGATGATTGGCCACCATTAGGATATTTAGAAAAGTAATTTGATGCAATTTTGGTGGAGGGTTGTCCCTGAAATTGGCGCTGGCTTCTTGCGGTTAATATGTGTAACTTCTTAGGATGGACGACACGTCTTAAAGGTTATATGATTTTTCAAAAGGTTTTCACAAAACTTAATGAGTCTTGTATGTTCACATTCGATATGAACATCACGGACGGGTTGAATGTTAGATATACGTTCAATGTTGGAGGTTCCAAGTAGGGCATACTTTAGGAAAACCTAACCTTCAAAATATGCATGGGTAATTCATAAGTAATTGGAAGATCTACATAGGATTGTTAAGGGGACGGCGGAACCCTAGTGTCCATTTAGCATTATTTTCTAAGATTGTTTCCTTTCAAATTGGTTTCTTTAATTGTTTTAATTTAAAATTCGTTTTTAATATTCTAGGTCATAAAATCAACTTTTTCCAAACTTTATTTTCAAATAATTAATTAAGATTTAGTATTTACATAAATTATTCATTCAATCCATATGAAGAACGACCTTGCTTGAACTGCTATACTACGATAACCTTGTACTCTTGCAAGTGTTTTTATCCCTACTTTTTAGGTGGTAAAATCCTTATCAAGAAATTGAGGCCGTTCCCGGGGATTGTTTTAAATGACTTGTGTTTATCAACTCTTAGTTAATTATTTTTGTATATGTCTCTTTATTTACTTGATTTTATTTATTTTTTGTTTTGGGTTACAATTTGTTGGTTTTGAAAGCAATGCAACAATTTCATTAGCAGCAATGGGATACTTTGGATTTGCACCAACAATTTGTACTCTTTGCAATTTAAAAACCCATGATATTATGTATTGTCTTTAGAGGCAGTATTTTCCAGAGTTTGTGCAACACCATATTAATATGAGGAACAATTTTCAGAGACCTAGGTACGATTCCTACTCAAATATTTACAATACATCATGGCAAGAGCATCAAAATCATATGTGGGTGGGTAGCCATCAGCCTTTTGAACAGCCTCATGCATCAGCAAAAGTGGATTGGGAGATTGCAGTTGACAAATTACTGCATCATTTTGAGCAACCTGCTGCACCAGCAAATTCCTCTCTGGAAATTTCCCTTGAAAATTTAGAAGATAGTTTCCAAACAAGGTTTGATCAAATCAGTCAAGGAATTCAAAATATTTAGGAAACACTAAAAAATATGGAGCGGCAAATTGGGCAGCTTGCATATCAATTGGCAGAACAAGACAATGATTCCAATTCAAATTTTTCTACTCAACCAATTGCCAACCAACAAGGTTCAGAAGAGTGCTGTGCAGATCAAGCATTGAAATGTGGAAAAACTTACGATACTAGGATGGAAGAACCCCAATTCAATAACTCTCACCCAAAAAAGGAAATAGCACATGTTGATCCAGAAATTTACACTGAACTTAATCCTACCCAAGTCAATACGCCACACATACAATATTCCGAGGCTGCAAAGCAACCAACAAAGTTGCATTAAGGCATTGAAGCTGACATGTTTGAAGAGGTTATTCATACAAATTCAAAATCTAATCCAACACATGACCAGCACTCGACAAATCTACCAGATTTTGATACAGGGCAAATAACTAAAGATAAAATAATTTTTGCTGCTGTAACAGACATTGCACCTGCACAACCAATCAAATTCAAAGAAATTCAAGATAAGTCCTACCAATAGGATAACTTCTACATGGGAATGAAGAAAAAGTTTAATGGCAGCCCTATTCTTCATCAAGAAATTTGTCCAGCGTAAAAATGATGGGTGTTAAATATAAGGTTTAAGTTAGTTCAATACAGACGCAAGCCTCGCTTGAAGGGACTCTCTTTGATTTCAAGAATTCATTCACATAGAAGAGTAAACATTAAGGACTCAACCATAACATTTAAATACTCGGTCAATAAACATCAAGTCACTCATTACCTAATATTGCTCGATGATGTTGTTAAAGATTGGTTGACTCTACAAGAACAAGTGACGTGATCACCAGTTTCTTTCAAATCCGTCTAGCTATAGACATTAACTAAAGCACTAATTGGGAGGCAACCTAATTTTTTTAACTCTTTCTTTTTATTTCGTTTATTTTATTTTCCTGTTTTTATTCCTAATTACAAAAATCACAGAAAAAAAAAATCAGAAAATTGAAAGAAAAAAATTGCAATTTTTAATTCTTGTTATTTTTCTTTACTTATCTAATTAGATTTTTGATTTGTGATTGCAGGCTGCATTTAAAACTAATTCGGTATAATCTTAACTACTCGTGGATTCATGCATCCATCCATTCATCACAACAAAATTCATCATCACATTCATAAGAATATTCATGGGAGTCAAATTCAACTTAAATGCAAGGACAAGATACAGAAGGAGCATAGGATGAGGTCCAGGGATACTCACAGTGGGGATGGGGAGAAGACCTCTATGCTAATGGACCCCTTTCACTCTCTCACACATGATTCAAAATATAATTACATTGAAGTTTGGGGGTGGGGATCCAAGCAGGACAAAGAAGAAGAGTCATCAGGACCATCCATATGCATATATTTTTGCACAACATACATCAACGGAGACATGCACAAACACAGAGGACAATTGTGAGGAAGCAAAAATCATATTCATACATGACGCACAAATAAGAGGAAGGGATACATATGTATACCTTTCCGTTCTAGATGAGAAAGGCTCCAAACATTTACCGTTGTTTGCTATGATGGATCGGCATTCTGCAGCTCCTAAACTGGAGCACACATACATCAGACACTCGTCCTCTAATTTCCCTTAATCTAAGCTTTGGACTTGAAATTGAATTTAGAGAATGAGAATTTTTACGTCTGAGTGTGTCGACACTAAGATTGGAAGTTTGGGGGTGGATCTCCACCTTTGCCTTGAGAGCAATGAACAGATAAAGAAGATGGGACTCCTAGATGAGCTCGAGGGTGTTTGTTTGTGTTATGGATGAGAGAATCGAGATAAATGCAAGGTGAGTGTTCGAGAAAATGAGAAATGAGTGGAGGGACGTTGGGCTCGAGGTCATGAGCTCTTAACAGCTAAGGGTTGGGTTAGATATGAAGTTGTTTGAGCAACTCCAGCATATCAAAGGCCCTCTAGGTCAACTTACTATTGAATCCCCCCCAGTGAACATTATCTATCTTTAATGAACAGTAACTGCCTTTTACATCTTTATCCCTAAACTGAATAGTCATGGCAATAGGTAATAAAATATTATTATTTTTTATTTTATAAAATAATAAAAAATAATTTTATTTTTAATTTCGGATAGGATTTTTAATCAGTCTGATTGTACCACGTGTCATTAAATAAGAAATTACAACCCAAAGTATTTGAGAAAATATAAAATTGTGGTGTAAGTTGGAAGATAATGATAACATATTTATAGAAAAAATAAATCATTTTTTTTTAATTTTTAATATTTTTTCGAATTTTTCCCTCGGACTCTCGGACTGTGGATTCTCGCCTGGCCTGTCCACCGGGCCTCCCCCGAGCCTAATGACCCGCATGGGTTGGAGCGAATGAG